AGACATATATATGGGTGTGTATAATAATGGTCATTGCTATATGTTTATAAGAAGAAGAAAAACTAGATACATTCATACTATGGAATACTGTATAACCATTCAAAACAATGAAGTAGTGCTACACAAACTTACATGGAAAGTGATACGCATTATTAAATTTTAAAACGTTGTATAACAATATATTTAATACGATTCCATTTTTAAAGCAAATCGTACATATGCTTGTAAATACATAGAAAATGTTTGGAAACATGAAGATCTCAAAATTGTTACCTCTTTTTTGAGTGGGGCTCAAAGGGAGGCTGGATAGAATTGGAGGCCATTATCCTAAGTGAAGTAATTAAGGAATGAAAAACAAAATACCACTTGTTCTCACTTATAAATGAGAGCTAAGCTATGTGTACACAAAGGGATACAGAGTGGTATAATGGACACTGAAGACTCAGAAGGGAGAAGGCTGGGAGCAGGGTAAAAGATGAAAAACTATTGGGTACAATGCACACTCTGTGGCTGACAGGTACACTAAAATCCCAGACTTCATCACTATACAATTCATCCATGAAACCAAAAAACCATTTGTTCCACTAAAGCAACTGAAATTTTAAAAAATTAAAAAGGGGCTTTGAGAGAGGAATTTTTCATTTTTTGTTTTAACAATGAACACTTATTACTTTAAAATAAACCATCCTTGAAATTCTTAACTCTGCATGAGGGGTTTCTCCATGGCCTAAGTTTACCAAGTCTCCATTAAATTCATGTCTTGAATTCCTCTCTCTCTCTGATGTAAAGCCTTCAAATTCAATAGAATCTAATTTATATAAGCTAGTTAGCAATCCATCTGACAGGCTAACCTAAATTTAAACTATAAAACAATAAAGTAGTTTAAAATCTAAAGTGTTTCACAATGGTATTTCCTTTAGTTCACATCCCATTCCCCAAAACACTTCATTCCCAAAATGTTGGGTAGGAGAAAATCCAAACATATGTAGTTTCTCACATGTTCTATCGCACCCGCCTGTCCATTACTGTATTCTCGGTATCGTCCAAGCATCTGGTCCACTTGTCGCAGGTTCCGACTGGTATCCTGAGAAAGAAAATTGACTGAATTAATTATTCCAAATACTTTTTTTCCTAATTGATCTTAGTAGTATGTCAATCAACTAAGTCAACAGTATGTAAAATGTATAAATTTTATCATGGCTAAGTTGAATATCAATGTACTTCATACATATTAAATAAATCTTAACACCACTGAGAGAAACTCAAATCCGACTGCAATTTACTCGTGTAATATCTGCAGCACATAATGTAAATCGTTATTCAAGGTTCCCTAGTAAGTTGGCAACAAACCATTAATTCTTAGAATCACAATTTTCAATTTGTGCCCCTCAACCAATTCATACACTTTATAGAAAAGGAATCCTGAAACAGCAAATCTAGTAGACTGTGTGCGAGAGAAGAAAATCATTAAGATCAATGTTATTTCAACTATTCTTTTACCTCAGAACTTGATGAGAAGAAAAATAACAAATTTAATTTTCATCACAATAGAAATGGTTCTCATCTAAATATGCTAGATTTTACCTGGGAGATTAATCAAGATATTTCTTTCAAAAATATATACCTATTAATGTGTCTCATTGTTGGGAAAGTACAAGAATTCATACTGCAAAATTGTATTGTTATCTTACTTTACTTACATTTTACTTACTTTACTTACTTACTTACTTATTGATCAGAAAGGGTCTTGCTCAGCCACCCAGGCTGTAGTGAAGTGGCATGATCATGGCTCACTGCAGCCTCAGCTTCCTGGACTCAAGGAATTCTACTGCCTCAACTTCCTGATTAGCTGGGACTACAGGTACACAGCACTAGGCCCAGCTAAACTTTTTTTTCTTAATTTGTGTATAGACAGAGTCTAAGTATGTTGCCAAAGCTGGTCTCAAACTCCTGACTCAAGCAATCTTCCTACCTCAGCCTTCAAAAATGCTAGGATTACAGGCATGAGCCACCATGCCCAGCCCAGCCCATGATGTTATTTTAAATAAGTTTAAAAAGGATAGGTCCTCTGGTTTTCAAATCAAAGCATTCACCACCAAAAATTATCTTCTTCTTATCTAAGCATACTAACAAAAGCAATTAAAAGCCAAAATCCATGCTTAGCCAGACTAAGGCAAAGGTAAGGGATTAATGAGTAGGAAATACATTCTGAGTTTTCTTTTCTCCCATATAGCTATGTTACCCTTCCCCCACCTCTTTTCTAAAGCCCTTTCTAGGAAAAAGAAGCAAAATGCCTTAACTCAAACCTCCAAATACTGGCAAAAATTAGCCTCTACATCAAAATGGAATTTCTTTATTTTCACCCACAAATAATCTACCTCACCAAAATGAGCAATTTCTCTAAAGGCACATGCCCATGAGAAGCTAAACTATCATCATTTCTACTGGTTTCACTCTCACAATATTTTATTTAGAAATACTGCTTTATCCTAAAACACTCTCCATCACCTATCACATATTTCAAATATCTTTACCAACTGTCATAGGCAGAATAAAGGCCCTCAAAGATATCCAAGTCCTAATCCCTGCAACCTGTGTATGTATACCTTACATGGCAAAAGGGATTTTGCAAATGTGATTACACTGAAGACTTTTAGATGGAGAGGTTCTCCTGGATTATCGGGTGGACCCAA